TTGGTTGAAATTACATTGTGTTTACTTGTTATAGAGGTCAAAAGTAACGTACACTTTACGTTTACGGAACTTTGAGTAGGTAGTACTTTATAATACACGATATTTTTCACATTATACGATATAATTACCATCGCCATCATTGTACAAATATTTTATAGTATGACAACAAGAGGGCGCTATCAGTATACGATAGCTGTCGTCCACGAAAGACACGGTGCCGCCGTATTTCGCCACGTCGTCATTACACGGACCAACATGGCCATCGAAATTACGTACGACGAAACGTCGTTTGTAGTAATTCCATTGTAACTATACCGATCGTGTTGTATTCAATTGGTTATTTGCAAACTCGTACATATTTTACAACTATTAAACATTAGAAAAAACAAAGTTGTGAAGAAATAGACAACGGAATACCGGTTTTTGGAAAAGAATATTTCGCGTACGCGTTCGTTTTTCATTGACGGTAGATAGCGCATTTGAGCTGTACCATTTGTCTGATGGTATATTCAACAATTAATCTATTAAATCACCTATTTAATTGTAATTATCATGAATTGGTGAGGTGTGATACACTAAATTAATGACGTATACGCCCGTTTTCCAAAATGCGATTTTCCGAAAATCGAAAATTTTCGATTTTTCGAACACGCTCAAATTTCAAACTGCAATCGTCTTAGAATTGCATTTATCTTTAAAAGACCTTAGTGATGTTGAGAGTGTATCGCTTCTCGGCCTATCGGCTAAGATCAAAGTGTAGTATCTGTTCTTATCAGCTTAACATCTGATACACCATTCATTGAATGGTTCAAATGTTAAACTAATTTTTTCAAACTTGGTGGAGACTTTGGGGCTTGCTCCTGCTCCACCGCGGGTTGACCCGGTATTGCAGTACCACCGGGAACGGCCCACATAATAAACATGATCGTAGTTCTCTTTAATATTTGAAAGTTCAAAAACCTTTTTTGAATTGGCAAAATTTCGAATTTTGGAAATTGATATTTTGAAAATTTGAAATTTTGGTTATTTTGAATTTTTCAAAATTTTATTTATTGGAGGTTCAATATTCATTCAATAATTGGATTTTGGATTCTCGAATACCTATCTGTGGTTGACGGTTGTTCAGTCCAATAATTTTGACATTGAAAATCTGTTAAAGATTATTTCGAAGTGCATTCTCATAACATTTTTTAGAGTTTATAAGTAATTTAAGTTTATTCAGTCACTATTATTTATATTGGTGATCAGTGGGCAGTAAACACAAGTTCTTAATTCCATCCCGGAGGGCGTTTTCGTGAAACGTATAATTGTTGGCAAAAAGTAACATAACAATTGACAAACAAATTATTCACGAATTGTGAATCACCTCGATCTAGCATTGCTGACGAGTGTGTACATCAAGGAACATAATATAATTATAATACGTACATAATATTTATTTATTATTATATATATATTATTGTTATTATATACGCTTTACTGATAAGTGATAAAAAATATTTTTTCTACATACATATGTCAACCAGTGAACGGAACACGGATTGTTAATATTTGTGTCAATATTTACTTTTGACTTGGATATACCGGCTTAATGTTTACCTTTGCCCCCCTCCTAATTTGTTTTATGAATATTTATGCCAGCCACCAGAATATCGGTTAGATTTTTGTCATATAATGGAATAACGGGTGATCAGTAATCTAGTTCTACAAAACTAGAGATAAAAAAAATAGTTTGGCTACGGCACTGCTATATATTATAAATGTGCCTAGTAGCATTTTTTAATTATAAGAAAAATTTTTCAGAAAATAAACAAAAATGCAATTATTACTGACCATTTTCATTTTTAATTAATGCTATTATACAATAATTACCTGCAGGGACTGGAATCCTATGACTCGGATACCGATTTCATTTCTATGAATATTTATTATGCCGGCCACCAGAATATCGGTTGGATAAAAAAGGTAATGAAAAGGTCTAATGTAAACTTCACCAGTTTTATTTTCTTACCTGTAATAGGTATATGGAAACTCACTCAAACTCCGCCAGTATTAAGGCTTTCCTAACTAAGGGCGTAGGACGTTTGCGCATCGCTATTGTTATGAATGACCTTTTTTGTAGGCCGTTTGCGCAACACTATTGTTTTAAAATGCATAGGGTGTTTTCCCTAGCTATTGTTAAAAGTAACCTTTTTATAGGCCGATTGCGCATTGCAAATTACGTATACCAGGTTTTATTTACACTTACAAAAATAATCGTCAATATTCATAATTCATATTTAAAAAATTTACAAAATTAATATTCACATTTACCAAAAAAAAAAAATAAATGTATTTTGCATTCTGGAATAACAAACTTAATTGAAATATGGGCGCTTATTTCAAAATCGGCTCTCATTAAATTAGGCATGAACAACAAATTAAATGAACCACACAACTCCTTTAAAAAGTTCCACATCTTAGTATAACTTATTAGTTATACATAATATTATCTCACCAACATATCCGGTCATGTCACTAATAGGTAGATAGGTAATAGGTAGTAGGTACCTTTCTATTGTTAAAATTTGCGATGCGCAAACGACCTACCAAATTTCTTACCTGAGGTACTAATGATGCGCAAACGACAAACTCCGCCTAACTAAATGATATTACTCTATTAAGTAAACTCAAAAGTTCAAAATGAAAAAAAATTATTGTGTTAGAGAAGGCTATAAATACTAAATAGTTATAATAATTGATTTATATTAGAATTAATGGTTTGAATACCTACAAATTGTATCTCATAATTTTAGTTCACAGTTCAAACTATTATAAGTTATAATGTTATATCCATACTTGTTAAATATTTAAATACTAATATTTAAGACAGAAGTATTTCAAGTATATTTCAAATACTTATTATTATATTTTGCATTTAAAAATATTAGACACAACATTTTCAAACAAGATATTTACTATTTAGTTAGGATAACTGTATATGTTATAAATCATCACATAAATTAAACATAACTACATTAACAATTTTTTATAAATAAAGGAATTCTGTATAAACCTACAATTACCTTCAATATTCAATACATTTTATTACATTAAACAAATAATTAGTTTTAAGAATTAAGAATCAGAAAATAATAAAGCTTAAAAAAATTTATTTAAAAATATTTGAAATACTTTTTGAATATAATTGTATTTGTATTTAAATATTTATTAGCAAAGGTATTTAAATATATATTTTAATACTTTTTGATTGAAGTATTTAAATACCTATTTGAAATACTTTTGAAAAGTCTTCTTAACAACACTGGTTATATCCTACTTACCTTAGGCTAAACCTAATATAGTATTACACATTATGATGTATTACACATTAAATTTTTACATCATGTTGTATATATAGGTACTTACTGCGTGTATGTTTTCCTATCTGGTTACCTATGTTTATTTATTTATTGTATTAATAGTTTAAACTTTTAACACTAATATTGTGTTACACTTTATCTGGTAACTACAAAATTAAAATAATTAATAAAGACAATGTTCTAATTTTTTATGATTATTTTGACCATATTATGATATTGCTTAATTTTGTATTGTTAAATCACCATAAGGTATAAATCATAATTTTATGTAAAATTAGTACAACAATATAACTTGCTATTTGCACAACAACTACTTTCTGTATGTTAAATGGTTTTGTTTTCACTGTATATTTCTTTAAACTTTCTTTTGATATTTATTACTATAAGTCTGTGCTATAACCATATTAACCATTAATTATAGAATAGTCTATTCTAATTACCTACTTATTATTTATGATTCACTCAGTTTAATTAATATTTTAAATTATAATAAAACCATTACTTCTTAGTACATGTTCATTCAAGTTAAATATTCTATATTCTATTATTTTGAAAACATAACAAATAACAAAACATTGCATAAATACAAAATTTAATATTGCAAAATAAAGAAAACAATTTATACATGTTACCAAATGCGTAACATAATATCTCTGAAACACAGGATTCACTTCAAAATAAACTCATAGGTAATAATTATGATAAATAACATTTTTTACAACATAAAATATAATTTAAACATACATGTTTTTCTTCAGTAAATTATTAATATTGGTTCTACAGCATACCATTTTTAGAGCTCATTAAAGCTCTGGTTTAAATTCGTACGTGCCATGCATTTGGTATTATTACATTATATATATTATATAATTAATTTAATAAAAAAAAACACTATAAAGTTATAATATAATTGCCATGCATATATTCAGTTTCAATTAAATGTACAAATGTAAGACTAACTATAAATATAATATATAAAATAATAAAAGGAATCTATAGAGGAATTTGCCAAGTATTTTATGTTATTTAAATACACAATATGCATAGTTACATATTCTTGAATCTTTAGTAGTTTCATTATAATTCTAAATTATTCTAATAACATAAAAATATTAACGTTGAACTTGTGGAGAGAACATAATATAATAATGATCAGAAAAAATAATATTTTGTAAAGAAACCACCACCAAGAACAAAAACGCCAAAAATATCCCCTGACTTAATAATTTATTAAATTTTAGATACATAAACTGCAATAACATTCATAAAAAAAAATTATTATATAAGAAAAATTGTAATGACATTAAATATTCATCTATTTCATGCAGTTTTAAATAGTTATTTTTTTTTTAAGTAGTCACAATTCAAGAAAAAAAATTATATAGATTGATGTAAGTGCATACTTTGAGTTCAATGAATTCATTCAAATACTAAATAAAAAAATAAAAAAAATAAACAGTTGGATGAAGTGGATATAATATAGTATTTAGTATTATCTAGAGAGCCTATAAGAGCTTATACAGACTGTCTAGTTTTATCTAATAAATTCATATTTAATAAACGACATGTATAGGTACTGTTCAATTTCCACAGTAGAATATTAAATAAGGTATTAAATTGTATGAATTCTGATTTTCATCAGGTTTGTCGTGAGATTCTGGAATAATCATTACTCGTGTTGGTATTGCTATTGGTTTTATGAGAGCGATTATTATAAACATACGAGTTGCCTTGTTGATAACCTCTAGATGGTCCTCCTGTATAAATAGATATTGTTAAATGTTATTCATTATCAAATATAAAATGCATAACCAACCTTCTCCTGTATATGAAGTTTTAGGTTTCATGGAAGTAGATCTTTTATTAATATCATTTGAGTTGCTCCTAGGATTATTACCATTAGAATTAGTATAATGCCCAATATTACGTTCTAGCGATTGCTGTCCGTAATTGGTTTGATATGTTGAATTATTAGAGGAAGTAGTAACAGGGTATGATTCTTGTTTATTGAAAACCACCGTTTTTTGCAATAACTCATCAAGATTCTCTGTATATCCTAAATTCATAATTTGTTTTAAATCAACTTTGTTATGTTTAAATCTATTAGGTAAGAATAGGTGTAACTTTCTTGAATTGGAATTCTACATTACCTGAAGGTTAGACAGTCACACAATGCATGTTTATAAACAAATTTAAACATTTTATTGAGATTAAAATTATAAAATTAGTATGTACTATTAAGAATAAAAGTAATACTCTAAGATAATCTTATGTTATATTATACTTAACTAACTATGTTTTTGTTGTTATCTTTTAACCTTTTACTAATAAATGTTACTAAGCTAAAAGTATTAAACCAAATAAATTATTTTGAATTATAGGTAACACCTATATCCTATCTTTACATAAAACATTAAAATGTTATATTGGATAAATAATCATTTTATATACCATTAGTAACTAAACCGAAATTAGATGAGGAATGTTTTGGTGATGGTTGAGTCGGTTCTGCTGGTGGGTTTTGTTTATCTACTTCAGCCATTTGAACCCAATTGTTTTTTATGAGCCAGTCATTATCTGTGCCGTTATTTATCATTTGAGCCATTGACCAGTTTTCTCTAGGTAAATTATTACTATCTCCTGATTTGGTTCTACTTTGCCAGTTTACTTCATTTTTTCCTGTCCAGGAATTAGAGTTAGAAGTATCTACAACATTTTCTAAATGATTTTGTTTTGTTTCCTAAATACAAATATTGTCATTAACTATTTTGATTAATTTTAAGTAAAAAAACCTTGTGGGAAATAGGTACCAAAGTCCGGTGTTGTGGAGGAGTAGACAGTATTTTTAAAATTGCATCATCTGTTGGTCCATGATTAGCGTAAATAGAAGAAGAAAATGTTTGAGTTGGTATAGAATTCAGATCAATGCTTATAATATCTTCCTCAAGTTGAGAATCCTGAAATAAAAATAATTTTTTTTAAGAATTTTTACTTAGTTTCAAAATTTTAACTGCACATATATAAATAGTATACATAAATACATATATAAATAGTAAGTACTTGTAAAAAGTCAAATGATGTATTGAGTACTGTATCTGTGGTGTTTTTACTATTTTGTAGGTTTTGTTCAACTGTATTTCCACCGCCTATCGGCCTATCGGCTAAGATCAAAGTGTAGTATCTGTTCTTATCAGCTTAACGACGTGATAAAGGTGTTTATTTCCCTATCTTCACGAGTTATGTCCGAGACGACGGATTCTGCGTAACATACACTTTTGTCTTACGTCGTTCGCCGAGTGTAACTCGACTCTTTAGGTGTGTTTGTTTTACGTGTTCTGTTCTCTTTGTTGCGTTTTCGTCGACTCGGCTTTTGCCTCCACCAGGTTTAGGTTCCCGGTCAGCCGGAGTACCGCGCCCTCGTGCTGAGCCAGCCTCCGGAAATCGGAAAATTGAAAAATTTGAGATCACCCGGAGGTCGAAGTGAGGCCTAGGTCGTGCTCGGCAAAGTGGCGTAACCCCACTTTAAAAACTAAGTAGTAGCCGGCATCTACTGAAACTGCCCGTAGCGCAATCTACGTTAAAAATACGTGGGGTGGTGGCGCACCTTAAAACGCGGAGTCCCTCGCCCTGAACTAGGCCATACTCCGCCGCCAAAACGTGGTGCAATACACGCTAAACATACGACGCAACAAACTTGAACTCGCTTAAAAACGCACACTTCGTCTGACGCCACTCCGACCATGCAGCCATGAGCTCCTCCTGCTCCAGCTCCGATGGACACTCTGCCCCGCGTATCTCGGCCACCGGTGCTGCCAGACGAGCAGCCGAGAGATGGGCGACGAACAGGATATGTCCAGCCACCCGCTCCCAGCACTCCGGATCCAGCCAGCTCGCTGGACCTTCCACCCGCGTCGACACTGCTGTCCCCATGGACTCTCCGTCGAGGCTTCCAGTCCCAGTGCCCAGAGCGGCTACACCCTCATCTCCACGAGTGGCCAGCCGTAAGCAGCCTACCCTGACGGATAGTGAGCTATGCTTCTTTTACCCGGCACCCTCCACACTGGTCTGTCCTTTTGTGGGTTGCTCTGCCCAATTCCGGGCTGACTCATGGACGGCCGCCAAACAATCGGTTGCTCGACACATCCGCTCGTTGCACACTATGGCCCCTGACGGGATTTTTGTACATTGCACTGGCTGCGATGTAAGACTGGGCCCGAGACCAGGCTCCCACAAGTGCACTATTCCGATTGCCGAAGACGCGGCACCAGCCTGCAGGTTCCTGTGCACGGTGGAAGCGTGTGGGAAGACGTTCCCGACAAAACAAGGCTTAGCTAACCACTCCAACAACCATCGACGCCAAGCTGCGATCGCCGCGGCGGCTGTCCCTTTGCCCCGCCCAGATACCAGACAGAATAGACGTGCAAACCCGGCACCTGCCCGCCCTCACCGAGGTGGTGACGCGCGTATACCGGTAGCACGGCCACCGACCGGTCGAACCACAGTAGCAGACCCAGACCCCAGAGCGCCGAGCCCTACCGGCAGTTCACCCGACGGGGTGGCAGGAGAACCAAGGACACAGGCCCCCAGCCATGACACAGGCGGTTCCTCCTTAGCCTCAAACATAGCGACCACAGCTGCCTCTGCCTCGGTGTCAACGTACACGCGCGATCAGGCAACTAGTTCTTCCGAAGAGGATATAGACGATTCTAGGGCACTAACATCCAGCTCAGACACAGGCAGTCCCTCCCTAGCCCCAAGCAGAGCTTCAGCAGCTTTTTCCACCCCGAGATCAACACGAACGATCACGCGGACCACTGAACGGACACCACGTCCCCGGTCCTGCCGCGACCCGACTCCCTCGCTGCAACCCGCTAGGACCTCTGGCAGCCCGGTCCTTGACCACGACGAGAACTCGGTGCGCACGGCGTCATCCTCGTCCGGTCTCAGTGACGCCCATGATGCAGAGGGCGACAACGACGCAGGTGAGAGCCCCGTGAGTGGCGATGGCGATCTTGCAGCACACGGTGAGGCCTTGATATTGTCCCCAGACGACACCACCCCGATACATGTGTACCTGCCCGAAGTCCGCGCCCTTGCCAGAGCTCCGGCTACGGGGATGAACTGGGACCGATTCTGCACTATCATGGAAGAGGTGACCTCCACGGCTGCGGCAACAGCAAAACTCCCTACCAGGACTGAGGGCAGCACTAGCAAGAGGTCGGCGGTTGACCCGAATGACGCCCAGGGCATTCAGTCACTCTATCGCAGGAACCGACGCAGTGCAATTCGCGCGATCACATCTGGCGAAAGCGCCTCCTGCAGCGTAGGAACGCGTGAAACCACGGACCACTTCGCGTCGGTTTGGTCCCCGTCCGCGTGCGACGCATCGGTGTATCCCCGTACGGAGGGACGTACCCCCGTACCAGTTGGACCCTTCTCCTCTGCCGATGTCGTGAAACGCCTCAAGAAATTTGAGAATACGGCCCCTGGTGACGACGGTCTCACGTATCACCACTGGAGACGCCTCGACCCGTCCTGCAGTTTGTTAACCGAGGTAATAAACACATGCCTAAGGCACCGTCGTGTTCCCCCGGCGTGGAAGAAGGCAGTGACCGTCTTGATCTTCAAGAAGGGGGACAAGAGCGACCTGGGTAACTGGAGGCCCATCTCCCTATGCCGCACCATCTACAAGTTATATGCCGGCTGTATTGCAGGTCGCCTCACGGAGTGGCTGGTGAGCAATGCAGTCCTCAGCCCCTGCCAAAAGGGGTTCCTCCCATCGGACGGCGCGTTTGAGCACGTCCACACTCTTAACCGTGAGCTTGAAAAAGCCCGGACTGGCAAATCCGACAAGTGTGTGGCGTGGCTCGACGTGTCCAACGCGTTCGGGGCAATCCCCCACATGGCGCTCGAGACAGCCATTGAGAGCTGTGGCGCGGGCGAGGGGCTCCTCCGGATTGTCCAGGACATCTACAGCGGTGCAACATCGTCAGTGAGTGTTGCCGAGGGGAAGACCCCTGACATACCCGTGCTGTCTGGCATCCGCCAGGGGTGCCCATTGAGCGGACTGCTCTTCATCATGGCAGTAGACCCAGTTGTCTCGGCGCTGCAAGGTACAGATGCTGGCCACCGGGTCCTGGCCTTCGCGGATGACCTGTGCCTACTTGCAGATAATGCGCCGGACCTCCAGTCTAAGATCAATGATGCCAGGGAAGGACTCGAACGTTTAGGGCTTAGCATCAACGCCAGTAAGTGTGCTTCCCTCCATCTGTCAGGGCGTACCCCTGTTGGTGTGCGAGATAGCATCTTTCGGATCTCGGGAGTCCCCATGAAGCCTCTAGCAGAAGGTGATGCAGCCGCGTTCCTCGGTGCCCAGGTGGGCTTTCACGTGATCCCCCACAAATCAACGCTTGCCGACATTATCGACCTAGGCTTGAAGATTGCCAGAAGTAAACTAGCGCCTTGGCAGAGGATCGACGCCCTCAAAACCTTCTTCTTCCCCTCTGCGGTTCACCTGCAGCGTATGGGAACCTATTCGAAATCTGACTGGAAGACAGTGGACGACATCTTGAGGCCCGAAATCAAGGCCACCCTAAACCTCCCGCAGGAAGCTTCCAACGAGTACCTATACGGGTCCACCCTCCGCGGATGCTGCGGGATAACAAAACTAGCGGAGGACTCCGACATCGCGGCTGTCGACAGCGCTTTCAAGTTACTCACCTCCCCTGATGGACGGGTCACCAGGGAAGCAGTTGACCATGTGAGGGACGTAACCCGCCGGAGGATTGGCCGGATTCCCTCCAACTCTGAAGTGGGTAGTTACCTCTCCGGCGAGAACGAGGGGCCCTTCCGCGAGACGCGTGGCGGTGGGGTTGCCAGTGTCTGGTCCCGTGCCCGCAACGCCTCCGGGCGTTTGGCCGCGTCCTGGTCGTTGGACGGTCCTCCCTCCATCACACATGCCGGAACTACGATGCGCGCAAAACAGAGGAGGGAAGTGATGAAGACGATGCGCGACCACTTCCGCGTTGTCAGAGGTACGACCCTGATCGAGAAACCGGACCAGGGCAGAGCCATGGAGTGCGTGGCTGCGCACGCCGCGTCTAATCACTTCCTAAGGGCCGGTGACTTCTGTAGGTTTGCCGACTGGAGGTTTGTCCACCGTGCGAGACTTAACTTAGTGCCGCTGAACGGCTCCTCGTCCTGGAGGACTGGTGACCGCCGGTGTCGACGTTGTGGGAATAACATTGAAAGCCTCGCCCACGTCGTTAACCACTGCATGCGGTACACCAGTCTCTTCATGGCGAGACACAACTCCCTTGTGGCTCGACTGAAGAAAGCGGCCGACGGGAAGTTTGAGGTCGTGTCGGAGAACCAGGCGATTGGCGCTCAGCGCCTTAGACCCGACCTTATCCTTAGAAGGGGCACAACCACGCTGATTATTGATGCCACAGTACCCTTCGATAACAGGATGAAGGCCTTCGAAGAAGCTGCAGACGAAAAGAGATCCAAATACGAGGAGCTGAGAAAGGAGATCGCTGCCGAACACCCTGGGGAGGTAACAGTGTTCCCGTTCATTGTTGGCTCCCTGGGTTCCTGGGATCCGGCCAACGACGTGCTGGTGAGGCAGCTGTGCAGCAGAGCCTACGCAAAGCTCATGCGGAAGCTATGTGTTAGCGAGGTCATCGGGTACACCAGAGATGTCTACACCGAACACATCTCCGGAGTTCGAGCGAGGCATGGCTGAGCCTGGACCACCTGCCTGCCCAATTATGACTGCTCCTACCACTAAACTTATATTTATATTATATTGAATTTATATATTCAATTGTAAAATACCTCCGCTATATGTACCCCACCCCATGCGTTTTCTCCCCATTTTTGTAGTCACCATAAATATTACATAATAAACTCTGTTCTTATCAGCTTAACATCTGATACACCATTCATTGAATGGTTCAAATGTTAAACTAATTTTTTCAAACTTGGTGGAGACTTTGGGGCTTGCTCCTGCTCCACCGCGGGTTGACCCGGTATTGCAGTACCACCGGGAACGGCCCACATAATAAACATGATCGTAGTTCTCTTTAATATTTGAAAGTTCAAAAACCTTTTTTGAATTGGCAAAATTTCGAATTTTGGAAATTGATATTTTGAAAATTTGAAATTTTGGTTATTTTGAATTTTTCAAAATTTTATTTATTGGAGGTTCAATATTCATTCAATAATTGGATTTTGGATTCTCGAATACCTATCTGTGGTTGACGGTTGTTCAGTCCAATAATTTTGACATTGAAAATCTGTTAAAGATTATTTCGAAGTGCATTCTCATAACATTTTTTAGAGTTTATAAGTAATTTAAGTTTATTCAGTCACTATTATTTATATTGGTGATCAGTGGGCAGTAAACACAAGTTCTTAATTCCATCCCGGAGGGCGTTTTCGTGAAACGTATAATTGTTGGCAAAAAGTAACATAACAATTGACAAACAAATTATTCACGAATTGTGAATCACCTCGATCTAGCATTGCTGACGAGTGTGTACATCAAGGAACATAATATAATTATAATACGTACATAATATTTATTTATTATATATATATATTATTGTTATTATATACGCTTTACTGATAAGTGATAAAAAATATTTTTTCTACATACATATGTCAACCAGTGAACGGAACACGGATTGTTAATATTTGTGTCAATATTTACTTTTGACTTGGATATACCGGCTTAATGTTTACCTTTGCCCCCCTCCTAATTTGTTTTATGAATATTTATGCCAGCCACCAGAATATCGGTTAGATTTTTGTCATATAATGGAATAACGGGTGATCAGTAATCTAGTTCTACAAAACTAGAGATAAAAAAAATAGTTTGGCTACGGCACTGCTATATATTATAAATGTGCCTAGTAGCATTTTTTAATTATAAGAAAAATTTTTCAGAAAATAAACAAAAATGCAATTATTACTGACCATTTTCATTTTTAATTAATGCTATTATACAATAATTACCTGCAGGGACTGGAATCCTATGACTCGGATACCGATTTCATTTCTATGAATATTTATTATGCCGGCCACCAGAATATCGGTTGGATAAAAAAGGTAATGAAAAGGTCTAATGTAAACTTCACCAGTTTTATTTTCTTACCTGTAATAGGTATATGGAAACTCACTCAAACTCCGCCAGTATTAAGGCTTTCCTAACTAAGGGCGTAGGACGTTTGCGCATCGCTATTGTTATGAATGACCTTTTTTGTAGGCCGTTTGCGCAACACTATTGTTTTAAAATGCATAGGGTGTTTTCCCTAGCTATTGTTAAAAGTAACCTTTTTATAGGCCGATTGCGCATTGCAAATTACGTATACCAGGTTTTATTTACACTTACAAAAATAATCGTCAATATTCATAATTCATATTTAAAAAATTTACAAAATTAATATTCACATTTACCAAAAAAAAAAAATAAATGTATTTTGCATTCTGGAATAACAAACTTAATTGAAATATGGGCGCTTATTTCAAAATCGGCTCTCATTAAATTAGGCATGAACAACAAATTAAATGAACCACACAACTCCTTTAAAAAGTTCCACATCTTAGTATAACTTATTAGTTATACATAATATTATCTCACCAACATATCCGGTCATGTCACTAATAGGTAGATAGGTAATAGGTAGTAGGTACCTTTCTATTGTTAAAATTTGCGATGCGCAAACGACCTACCAAATTTCTTACCTGAGGTACTAATGATGCGCAAACGACAAACTCCGCCTAACTAAATGATATTACTCTATTAAGTAAACTCAAAAGTTCAAAATGAAAAAAAATTATTGTGTTAGAGAAGGCTATAAATACTAAATAGTTATAATAATTGATTTATATTAGAATTAATGGTTTGAATACCTACAAATTGTATCTCATAATTTTAGTTCACAGTTCAAACTATTATAAGTTATAATGTTATATCCATACTTGTTAAATATTTAAATACTAATATTTAAGACAGAAGTATTTCAAGTATATTTCAAATACTTATTATTATATTTTGCATTTAAAAATATTAGACACAACATTTTCAAACAAGATATTTACTATTTAGTTAGGATAACTGTATATGTTATAAATCATCACATAAATTAAACATAACTACATTAACAATTTTTTATAAATAAAGGAATTCTGTATAAACCTACAATTACCTTCAATATTCAATACATTTTATTACATTAAACAAATAATTAGTTTTAAGAATTAAGAATCAGAAAATAATAAAGCTTAAAAAAATTTATTTAAAAATATTTGAAATACTTTTTGAATATAATTGTATTTGTATTTAAATATTTATTAGCAAAGGTATTTAAATATATATTTTAATACTTTTTGATTGAAGTATTTAAATACCTATTTGAAATACTTTTGAAAAGTCTTCTTAACAACACTGGTTATATCCTACTTACCTTAGGCTAAACCTAATATAGTATTACACATTATGATGTATTACACATTAAATTTTTACATCATGTTGTATATATAGGTACTTACTGCGTGTATGTTTTCCTATCTGGTTACCTATGTTTATTTATTTATTGTATTAATAGTTTAAACTTTTAACACTAATATTGTGTTACACTTTATCTGGTAACTACAAAATTAAAATAATTAATAAAGACAATGTTCTAATTTTTTATGATTATTTTGACCATATTATGATATTGCTTAATTTTGTATTGTTAAATCACCATAAGGTATAAATCATAATTTTATGTAAAATTAGTACAACAATATAACTTGCTATTTGCACAACAACTACTTTCTGTATGTTAAATGGTTTTGTTTTCACTGTATATTTCTTTAAACTTTCTTTTGATATTTATTACTATAAGTCTGTGCTATAACCATATTAACCATTAATTATAGAATAGTCTATTCTAATTACCTACTTATTATTTATGATTCACTCAGTTTAATTAATATTTTAAATTATAATAAAACCATTACTTCTTAGTACATGTTCATTCAAGTTAAATATTCTATATTCTATTATTTTGAAAACATAACAAATAACAAAACATTGCATAAATACAAAATTTAATATTGCAAAATAAAGAAAACAATTTATACATGTTACCAAATGCGTAACATAATATCTCTGAAACACAGGATTCACTTCAAAATAAACTCATAGGTAATAATTATGATAAATAACATTTTTTACAACATAAAATATAATTTAAACATACATGTTTTTCTTCAGTAAATTATTAATATTGGTTCTACAGCATACCATTTTTAGAGCTCATTAAAGCTCTGGTTTAAATTCGTACGTGCCATGCATTTGGTATTATTACATTATATATATTATATAATTAATTTAATAAAAAAAAACACTATAAAGTTATAATATAATTGCCATGCATATATTCAGTTTCAATTAAATGTACAAATGTAAGACTAACTATAAATATAATATATAAAATAATAAAAGGAATCTATAGAGGAATTTGCCAAGTATTTTATGTTATTTAAATACACAATATGCATAGTTACATATTCTTGAATCTTTAGTAGTTTCATTATAATTCTAAATTATTCTAATAACATAAAAATATTAACGTTGAACTTGTGGAGAGAACATAATATAATAATGATCAGAAAAAATAATATTTTGTAAAGAAACCACCACCAAGAACAAAAACGCCAAAAATATCCCCTGACTTAATAATTTATTAAATTTTAGATACATAAACTGCAATAACATTCATAAAAAAAAATTATTATATAAGAAAAATTGTAATGACATTAAATATTCATCTATTTCATGCAGTTTTAAATAGTTATTTTTTTTTTAAGTAGTCACAATTCAAGAAAAAAAATTATATAGATTGATGTAAGTGCATACTTTGAGTTCAATGAATTCATTCAAATACTAAATAAAAAAATAAAAAAAATAAACAGTTGGATGAAGTGGATATAATATAGTATTTAGTATTATCTAGAGAGCCTATAAGAGCTTATACAGACTGTCTAGTTTTATCTAATAAATTCATATTTAATAAACGACATGTATAGGTACTGTTCAATTTCCACAGTAGAATATTAAATAAGGTATTAAATTGTATGAATTCTGATTTTCATCAGGTTTGTCGTGAGATTCTGGAATAATCATTACTCGTGTTGGTATTGCTATTGGTTTTATGAGAGCGATTATTATAAACATACGAGTTGCCTTGTTGATAACCTCTAGATGGTCCTCCTGTATAAATAGATATTGTTAAATGTTATTCATTATCAAATATAAAATGCATAACCAACCTTCTCCTGTATATGAAGTTTTAGGTTTCATGGAAGTAGATCTTTTATTAATATCATTTGAGTTGCTCCTAGGATTATTACCATTAGAATTAGTATAATGCCCAATATTACGTTCTAGCGATTGCTGTCCGTAATTGGTTTGATATGTTGAATTATTAGAGGAAGTAGTAACAGGGTATGATTCTTGTTTATTGAAAACCACCGTTTTTTGCAATAACTCATCAAGATTCTCTGTATATCCTAAATTCATAATTTGTTTTAAATCAACTTTGTTATGTTTAAATCTATTAGGTAAGAATAGGTGTAACTTTCTTGAATTGGAATTCTACATTACCTGAAGGTTAGACAGTCACACAATGCATGTTTATAAACAAATTTAAACATTTTATTGAGATTAAAATTATAAAATTAGTATGTACTATTAAGAATAAAAGTAATACTCTAAGATAATCTTATGTTATATTATACTTAACTAACTATGTTTTTGTTGTTATCTTTTAACCTTTTACTAATAAATGTTACTAAGCTAAAAGTATTAAACCAAATAAATTATTTTGAATTATAGGTAACACCTATATCCTATCTTTACATAAAACATTAAAATGTTATATTGGATAAATAATCATTTTATATACCATTAGTAACTAAACCGAAATTAGATGAGGAATGTTTTGGTGATGGTTGAGTCGGTTCTGCTGGTGGGTTTTGTTTATCTACTTCAGCCATTTGAACCCAATTGTTTTTTATGAGCCAGTCATTATCTGTGCCGTTATTTATCATTTGAGCCATTGACCAGTTTTCTCTAGGTAAATTATTACTATCTCCTGATTTGGTTCTACTTTGCCAGTTTACTTCATTTTTTCCTGTCCAGGAATTAGAGTTAGAAGTATCTACAACATTTTCTAAATGATTTTGTTTTGTTTCCTAAATACAAATATTGTCATTAACTATTTTGATTAATTTTAAGTAAAAAAACCTTGTGGGAAATAGGTACCAAAGTCCGGTGTTGTGGAGGAGTAGACAGTATTTTTAAAATTGCATCATCTGTTGGTCCATGATTAGCGTAAATAGAAGAAGAAAATGTTTGAGTTGGTATAGAATTCAGATCAATGCTTATAATATCTTCCTCAAGTTGAGAATCCTGAAATAAAAATAATTTTTTTTAAGAATTTTTACTTAGTTTCAAAATTTTAACTGCACATATATAAATAGTATACATAAATACATATATAAATAGTAAGTACTTGTAAAAAGTCAAATGATGTATTGAGTACTGTATCTGTGGTGTTTTTACTATTTTGTAGGTTTTGTTCAACTGTATTTCCACCAATATTATTATTTGTAAAATAAATTGTTTCTATTTTATTTGGAGTGAAGTCCAAATTAGGAATACTAGAAACTAAATAAGTAATGATGGTTAAAATAACTTAAAATATGATTTGTTACTAAATTACTTGGTATGTTATCTGGTGAATCATCAGTTATGGAAGCTATTGATTGGTGAATATGTTGAGGTATTTGGGTTTCTAAACTATTATCTTCATTAATTGTATTTACCTTAAACGTAATGTAGTGTAATAATCATAGATATCATTTAAACTGTAATAATATTTATTGTACTAACTTCTTTATCAACATGTTTAAGTTTTGCTATATTGTTTAGATAACCACTTTTTTCAATTTTTAACAAACATTCTTTTAAATGTGCATAACTTGTACCAACTACAATATTAGGTCTACTCTCTATAAGCTTCATGTAGTGCTTGGAAACAGTCTTAAGTTGATCCTGTAATTTAAAAAAATATTAACAAAAATTATTTAAAAATCAAATATGCTCTAATATATTTTCACACTAAAAAAAATGATTTAATTATATATTTAAAATTCAATTAATATGGAGGTTTAAATATTTGCTGCATAGAGATTTCACATTTATAATTTGCTAAAAAATCCAATTTATGTACAGTTTTATTTTATTATTTGTTTTTTCCAGTTTGAGTTCCAAATTAATGTAATTATTATGAGATTTTTTCTTTTATTATTATATTTATTTTATAAATAAGAATGTTTTTTTTTATTTAGCATTTGGATTGTAAATAGCAATATACTAATGATAAAAAGGTAACATGTAAATATAAATGTTATAATTATATAAAATATAGTGTTATAATGTTATATGTTTATGTTTTAATGATTCAAATAAATAATCATTAATTATTTTTAGCACAGAACAATTATATACAAGTGATATTCTGTTCGATAGTTGGTGTCTGGATGTTTAATAGTTAATATTAGTAATTATTATTATAAACATTAATTAAAATAATTGAACCCAAAAATAATATTGAAAATTTGTATTTTGTATATTATGGGTGGCAGGTGCATATTTTCTATAAAACTAATTTAAATGTTTTAATTTAATTTTATGATTTTATATAAAATTATTATATATACATTTATTCCACAAAATGCATAATTTTATATAATATTGTTCGAATTTGTTACTTTACAATGCCAACATTTCCAAGTTCAAAATTACCATCACTTAGAAAATGGATTGAGCCCTACAAACAAATTGAGTGAAGTATTTAAAACCTTAAATAATAATTCAGTTTTTAGTCAGTATTGTAATTGAGTAGTTTTAGAAGAATGAAATTGATCAGCACTTGACCTGATTTAATTTAAAAAAAATGTTCTTAAATCTTATATATATATATATAAATGAATTGCTGTTTGTTAGTCTGGCTAAAACTCGAGAACGGCTAGTCAAATTTGGCTCATTTTTTAAGATGTTTGTAATTGCCAGGAGAAGAATATGTTAAGAACTAAGGTATATATAAGGTAACCTATAAGGTTCCAGGTTCTTCTATCAAACATTTCCCCCTAGAAATGTCAAGTTTTAAATATGCAACTGTAAGCATTGATGTGGACCAAAGATTTTCTGCATACAACTACATTGTTAAAAATTGATATTATAATTTAACCCAGATCAATAGAGAAAATATTGTCATTAGCACTTATTGTTTTTCCAATAAAGATTATTGTATATAATACTGTAGTTTATTGATATAATCATTTTTTTATCACTAATGTTTTGATTTTATAACTTTACAATAAATAAATAGCTGTAATATTCAAAAATTATTTTGCATATTATGGGTTTTTAAGTGGATATTTGAAACTTTTTAAGTGCATATTTTTAAATTATAAATAAAAAACCAGTCTTCTCACATTTTTCAAAAAACAATGATTTGTGTGTATCTAGGGATATTTCAAAGGGGCTTCAATATATTATATAAATATTTATAAATTAAAGTAAAGTTAAGGTTTTATAAAAAAAATGATCTAATAAAAATAATCAGCCAATCAAGACATTCAATTATATGTATAGAAAAAATATATTTAATTATAAAATAATTTTTACATAACACATTCCAAAGGAGGGGGGGGTCATATCTTCAACCCTTCATGCCACTGGCTTTATGTGTTGTTTCCTAACCATTTAAGTTACCTCAAAAAGTGGTTTTCCTTCTTCTACTCTCCGTTTTGGTGAAACCATTTTAGAAAAATATGACAATTTTGAGAGCTCATCATCCGTCAATTGTACTGCACCATTATTACCAGCTAATAAATCTTGTTTCACAGTTTCATCTTTAATACTTTCTAGTATATTCTAAAAGCAAAGATAATATGAAAAAAACACACATGTATATGTTAATATATAAATTCTTTAAATATTGGTTATTAAATATATCTATTTTATAATGTTATGTTTAAGATAATTGTGGCGTTATTGAAATATTAACCAATAGAGAATGCTTAAAAGTTAATAAAATATTAATAAATTAAATCAAATAAAAGCTACAAATTCGTTTTTTAGTCCATTATAAAATTATAAGTCTTAAACTTCAATTGCATTTGGTGTTAGACTATGAAAACTACAATATTGCATAAAATTTTAATTATTTTACAGTAATTTATTGTTGAAATTGTGTAGATTCCGTATTAAATATTATATAAAATGTATATTAGGTTATATAGGAATATTTAAATTAATATAACAAGTCGAAGGAGAATCACTTTTAAATCAAATAAATGTATTTACTTAAGTTAGAAAACAATCAGTCAAAAGTTATAAATAATATTATATCAAACAACATGATTAGTTTAAACAAACAAAAACTTATTCATAGTACTGACCAGTGAATTATAGACTAATGGCATCCTTGAAGTAGTTCAAGATGAAATTGAATATGAACACTGGCCTAAACTATACGTTAATATCAAAACAGGACTAGTATTGAAATAATAAATTATAAGGAATAGATTTATACATGTGGTTAGTCTTTAGAATTAAAATATGAGGATAAAATAATGATTTATATTTACTTTAACAACTTTGTGATTATTATTGATATACCTACCTATATTATAAAGTATAACAGGTACATTTAGTATCTAGATCCATTATAATGTATTTTTAAAGATGTAGTTATAGTTATACAATTTAGTTTTCTAATAGTATATCCTGAATGAGTAAATATATAAACAAAAATAGTAAAAAATTCCAATTTGTCAACATTAAATTATTAATTTAAAAAAAGCATTTTTTTTTTTTGCACATTTAACAATTTAACGGCTCCTATATACCAGCTAGTTAAACAATAATTTGTTACTTTCAATTATTTAATTATTTATTTTACTTCTAGAAATTACCTGAAAATTTAAAACCTGCTTGATTTTACTATCAACGTTGGTAGGAAGCTTATCACCATTTGTAGCATTTCTATTTTGTTTTGCTGTTATTAAAAGAGTATTTAATTGGTCTTTCAGATTTCTTGCAAAATCTAAAGTACTAACTACTTCATTAAACTTTGATGCAGCTAGTAATTGATCATCACTCAATTGAACTCCTTCCTCTTGTTGTTGAAGGTATCCTTCTAATTTAAGCTAAAACAAATACAAAAAAAAAAAATTCTAAATTCATTAGTTTTTTTTATAAACTATAATTATTTGTTATATAACTGTATATAGTTAATAATGCATATTAGATAACAAGGTAACATTAATAACTAAATAACTAATACCTAAGTAATATTAAGTGGCCAAGCAGTGGACCAAACACCTGAAACAGTCTACAGTTCCTACTCATTTGAAATTAGAATTTTCAATTTTTATTTAGATGCGTCAACATTTTCAAAATCATTAAACAGTAAGAACAGTAAGAAATTTACAAAAACAGTAAAAAAGGGTATAAAGTTTTTATTTGAAATAAATATCCTTGTAAATATATTTGTATCACTAATCATTAGAGGATACTTCTAAAATAGTATAAAAATCCAAGTACCTATTAAAAATTTGGTCTTCAAATCTAGGTAGGTAGGTAAGTACTTTAAATTTTGAAAAATTATAATTTGAATAAATGCATTATTGACCAATTGAGGAACAAATTAAAAATATACAGACTACTCTGAGAGTAGTTTAAGAATGGAAAATTGAAAAAAAAAATTATAATAATAAATTTATAATTATGAATAATACTTAGTATTTACCATTTCGCCTCATTTTTACCACCATATTTTAAGAGATGACGTATAAATATACCACAAATAAGTGTATATAATGAATACATCTTTTTATTAGATAAAACCGTATAAAAAACATTGGTGGTAAAAATGTATATACATCAATGCTCCCTATAACTATATTTTTTAAATACGTGTATAAATGTCATTGTTTTAATGACAAAAGGACAAAAGAAGGATGAGCATGCTTAGTGAATGGCATGATAACTGCACTCTGTATTTTATACAAATTGTCCAGCTATATTTAATTGTAGTCTTGTAGGGCTACAGCCAGTGGCGGCGCCAGAACTTTAATACCAGGTGGGCCAGGCTGGGGCCCAAATTTTTTAGGGAGGGCCAAATTGTTGACTTGATATATATATATAATCAATAGTGATGACAGGCAATTGCGCAGAGGGGTAAGGGGGAGGGTCAACTTCCAATTTTTTTTACACTTCATTGTGTAAACTTACTATAACAATGATTTGTAAACATGTATTGTATTAATAGTATTTATTTCCTAACAAAATATATATTCATGTAAACACTTTTTAATTTGTATACTCCCTAACCCATAATTACACTCAATACCAACGAATATTTAATAATAATTTATTATTTTCGTATTCAGCCTCTGGAAAATACACGTTATTTATGAGGCTTGAAAGCATATTATATAGAGCATAGTTGTCAACCCATTCAAAATGTTGTTCACGCCATCTATTATGACTTAATATTTTCATATTTTAATAAATCATGATTTATTCATGAGATATTTTTTAGTATTCTAATATGATTAAATTTTATTTTTGGGGTGGGCCACAGGGGGGGCCTGGGACTTTTAAGGTGGGTCCGGGCCCACCCCTGGCGCCGCCACTGGCTACAGCCCTATATTATTCAGGTCAAATTGTGACAATGCCAATGCATTCTTACAGTTATTTATTATTATAAAAGTGTATAATAAGCTTAAATTAGTAAAGACAAAATTAAATGTAAAGCTTACGTTTTTAACTTATATAAAGGAACCTATAATATAGGTACTAAGAGACATCAAATCATATTGCACTACAGAATAAATATTTTTTATAAATAATTATAATATTTTATACATTATACTTTCGTGGTGGTAGGTAATGTTAATAATGTAAAAAAAATATTATTGTAAATTAGATAGGTAGGTAATTTAATAACAACGTCAATTTATACATTTCTGTATTATTGAATGTTGACTTACTATTTATTATTAAAATGTATATATATATTTTATGTATAATATATTTTATGTACCTAAGAACATATTATTGAGTATATAATATAACCTAAGCCCAAAGGTACTTTACTTTAAAGTCGAGTTTATGCTAGTTTACAAAATAATTTCCATGCACAATGTATTTCTATTTGCTAATAGGTAAATACAGTGGCGTCATTAGGGGGGAGGGGGGGGCACTGGAGCTTTTGACCCAGTCTGGTATTTACATCAACCTTAAGTCGGCACATATTGATCAGTTATTAACAAATTTAAATAGGAAAACTTATTGAGACTTTAATGTAACAGGCAATAGAATACGATCAAACGCTGCAGTGCCGAATCATATTATTCCCTATGGGTAATTAAATTAATGGTCAGATCAATAGGTGGAGAAAACATCGAACGTTCGTCAAAGTGGAGAAAAATGGTAAAAGGTTGACTACAAAACAATACGTCCAAGTTACCTTGCGTTTTTCCAGGTTTCTGATTTTGTGTTCGATGATCAACATAGTCTTTTGCATCAGATCGTCGTTGGAAGTCAACGAAGTCATGTTTTGGCCGTTCTGTTCGGGCCCGGCAGTGGATCAGAGGTGCGTTTATGGTCGAATCCGAGAAAAAACAGACGGTCGTGCAGGACGCAATACTGCGCGGTGCGACACGGACGTGCGAAAAGACGGGTGTCCACGAACAATATCGACAATGTCGACGGACAGCAAGTCTGACGAGCACGAGAAGCGAAATATATCGCGATCCAGTGGGTTTTACCAGATGGACGACCGAATATGATGGTACCGTAGGAGCAGCCCGACCACAGAGTAAAACAATCGGCGACGGACGAAAATAGGAACGAAATGAAAAGATATTATTAAATGTATTACAATATTACTATCCGATAAATCACTGGGAAAAACTGATGATAAGATAATGGGAAGGGAAAAATGGACGATATGACAAGAGTGTACAACAGTATTGTTTACGCGTGAGCGGTGTGTGGTAACTGGTGAGCAGTGGTGACTGGCGGTGGTGACGGTGGTGACGGTGGTGACGGTGGTGACGGTGGTGACGGTGGTGACGGTGGTGGCGGCGGCGGCGGCCGCTGTGACGATGATGACTATTATCACATCGTGTCAACCTCCGCCGCGAGACGAGAGCGCTGAAATCGCGGCGGCGTCGGCATTCGGCGAACGACCTCTCATCTTTCTCAATTCTCTCGCATAGTCAGCACTCAGCTTCGTCGGGCCACAGACGATACAGGCTGGCGGACGCCCACTACACTACCATAATGTACTGTATTTGTCACTACTTTAGTCCGCACTCCGCACTGCCACTCGGACACGGACACGGACGAACGCATGGCCAAATAAATTTGTACGGCATGCATTACGCCATTACGGTCAACTTCACCGCATCCATCTAATTATCGTGCGTCGGTGCATTACTATTTACTGCGTATCGCTTTATTGCCTTTACTATTGCGCAGTGACAGTGCGTTACTGCGTTCAGGCTCAGTCAAAGAGTAGGTATATAGGGAACACAATATACAGGGCCGGTTCTTAGCTTTTTAACACCCGGAAAAATTAAAAAAATACGCCCATCTCAGGAAGATAACCAGAATTCGTATTTTTTTTACGAAAAACCAAGCACACTCACACAGTATTGTGAGGACCAATATTTACAAAACCTTTTGCAATATACTGGACCAATATTTTGTTTACCACAAATAACTTAAACGATTTTAACTTAAAAATGAAACATTTTAAATTTTAAACTAATCAAGTAGGTAGGTAATAGTTTTAGAAGCACTACTTAATGATATATTTAAAGCTAAAATCTGTGGTCAATATTTCTAAGTTTCAGGTTTAGAATAAATAATATTGATAATAATACAATATGTACCTATGAATTATTTATTAACAAATCTAAATTAGGTAGGTATCCATTGCTTACTTATAATATAAAAAGCTTTATGTAAGAGAACAATATTTAATTTACAACATAACAATATTATATTTTTCATTTTAAATATTTTGTTACAATCAAAACTTAATATGTACCTAGGTACGGAAAAAATACAATGAAACAAAAATGTGATTATGTACTGAAAATTGTAATATAATGATTGAACCGGATAAAGAAATTTACTTTATCATGAATCATGATTCATGGATTATAACTTATGGATTAAATGTATATACTAATACTAAAATATCTACATTCTACTTTCTAGATTTTACAAATTTCCAAAATAAAACTATAAAAATAAATTAGATAAAAAAAAAACAGTTTATAATAAAAAAAACTACCTAACCAAATAGAATATAAATTTCCTTTTAAATTATTTTAATATAATATATGTAAAACATAATTTTAAATCTGACTTGGGCTACATATTAATAGGATAGTATTTTTGTTTTAATTATTTAATTATGTTGTACTTTCATACTATCAAGTTTATCAAGACAATTAATAGTTCTATATTTGTGTTTAAAAAGCAAACACAAATAACAAATCATACTCCATTTTGTGTTCTTTTTCATTTATCTATTGGCCATGGTGATATTTATAAAAAAATTCAGTTTATAAAAAGGCAATTGTTAAATATAAAGACTTATAAACCTACGAACATGCAATTTAATAAATAATCTGAAAACAATTAAATCAGTAGTAACTAGTAAGTACCTAAGTAACATTTTATGTAGTAACTTACATAATTTTATGCAGTAGGTACCTATTTGAAAAAATATATAGTTTTTAATTTAAAATTACATAACAATGAATTACAATTAATAGTGCCATTTTTGAAATGAAGTTTCAAATAACTATCTACATAATATATTATATGCAAGAAAACTATGTCATTTACCATACTTTATTATGTGACTAGTCGGAGAGTACGAATATATTGTTGAGGACGAATATTTCCACAGCACTGCGTACCTATTTCATATTTGTCCTTTTTAATTTTTAAATCAATGTTATTAGTTATTACTTATCTTGATTAAAAATAAAATTATTTCCTGTAAAATATTAGTTTGTACCTAGTTTTTACTTTTGTTTTAAAGTCGACTTTCAATTTTGAATTTACGAATTTAAAACCTTAAAAATACGCCTACGAAAATCATGCGCCCGTGGATAAATCCATGACTTCCCTCCACCCCTAGATCCGGACCTGACAATATACAATGCATTTACGTCATACGGTTTTAAATATACACAATACACGCCTTGAATTGAAAATTACAATATTATCTGTGGATTTAAAACCATTTTAATAAAGTTAAAACAAAAAGTTTAAACGTAGTTATTGATAGTTACCTTAGGTACCTACTACCTATATACAATAAACGTACCTAATGTACTAACGCACAAAATACGTATAAGTCGCAAAAAAATTGATGCTTTAATATTTATAATATTATAACATTATGGTACATAGATACTCGAGAACCATATTACCAAAAATAAGGAACGAATTCCTTTTTTAAGGAACTTTTCCAAACACTGTAATTTTCTTATACACTATTAATAGGTATAATATTATATTTGATTACTTTTCTTTATACTTAAATACAGTTTACAAATGGTGGGCAAGTTAATGAAAATAATTAACTGTGGAAAGTTATGTTAATTCAATTAAATTGCCTTCAGTTAAGTTAAAAGTTAACAAAGAAAAAACATTTAACTAGATAAGTTTGAAGTTAACATAGAAAATAAAATTAACTTATCTCAGTTAAAAAAATTTTCATTTTTTTAAAGGTACAATATTTTTAAGTCATAAACCGCCATAGTATTTTGTTATACACAAATATTTACCAAGATATTTAACACTGTGTAAACAATTAGATTATTATAATATATAATTCGAAAATAAATACCAAAATCTTAAAAAAGTCGACGAATCAGTATTGCCTAGTTGATTAAGCATGACTCAAAAATTAAATTAACTTAACTGCATGACAATGATAATTAACTATAAAAAGTTAAGTTACAACCAAGGAGGATATATGTATATATATATATATATATAATATATACCGCTATAGCACTTTAATATAAAAATAAAAGTTGATGACTTTTTAACCGATTGACTGACTTCTCGGCCTACCTGTTGGTTTCTGGTGACTTCTAAGCCAACTGAGAATTGAGTGTTACCAGCACAGTGAGTCCCATGTAAAAAATCGGTATTTATTTTGATCAAAAACAAAGTTTTGTGCACCGTCATAGCACAGTAACATAAAACCCAAAAATTGATGTATTTCAATCAATGTCACCAACATTCTTCCTCTTGTCCTGATAACTTCACAGCCAAACTTTTTGACTTCTCATCGTAAATCTAGTGACTTCTTAATAAACCGGCTGACTTCTGGGACTAAATGTTGGTTTCTTAGACGACTGGCTGATTACTTGGCCATAACTGTTGACTTCTCAGCCTACATGGTAGTTTCTTAGCCAACTACCTCACTTCTCGGCCTAGCTGAGGGTTTCTTAGCCGACTACCTGTCTTCTCGGCCTACCCGGTAGATTCTTAGCCGACTGGCTGAATACTTGACCATATCTATTGACTTTTTAGCTGACTACCTGACTTCTCGGCCTAATTGTTGGTTTCTTAGACGACTGGCTGACTCTCGGCCTACCTGGTAGTTTCATAGCCGACTGGCTGACTACTTGGCCATATCTGTTGACTTCTTAGAGAACTACCTGACTTCTCGGCCTAATTGTTGGTTTCTTAGCCGACTGGCTGACTTCTCGGCATACATGGTGGTTTCTTAGCCGACTACCTGACTTCTCGGCCTACCTTGTGGTTTCTTAGCTGACCAGATGACTTTTAAGCCAAACGTTCTTAGCCGACTGGCTGACTTCCTGGCCTACCCGGCGGTTTCTCAGCCGACTGGCTGACTTCTCGGCAAACCGGTTTCTATTTCTCGAATTAACCTGATAACTTCTTAGCCAACTTGCTGACTGCTCGGCCTACAAGACAAAGTTACAAGCACAGTGCTTCCCATGTTTAAAATCGATATTCAGTTTGATCAGAAACACAGTGCAGTACAAAGTTAACACGGTAACATAAAAACTGAAAATTGATGTATTTAACCCAATGTACACCCACATTGTTCTTCTTTTGCTTATGACTGCACGGCAAATTTTGACTTCTCATTGTAAATCTGGTGACTTCTTAATAAACCGCCTGACTTCTGGTCCTAAATGTTGGTTTTTTAGCCGACTGGCTGAATACTTGGCCATATCTGATGACTTCTTAGCCGACTACCTGACTTCTCGGGTTACCTGTTGGTTTCTTAGCCGACTGGCTGACTTCTCGGCCTACCCGATGGTTTCTTAAACCAAACATCCAGCCTTATTAGCTAACCAGATGACATTGTTTGATATAATATTATTCATACCTTTTGACTGGTTGTTTTCTAACTTAAGTAAGTACATTTATTTGATTTAAAAGTGATTCCCCTTCGACTTGTTATATCAATTTGAATATTCCTATATAACCTAATATACATTTTATATAATATTTAATACGGAATCTACACAATTTCAACAATAAATTACTGTAAAATAATCCTAACCTAACCTTTAGAATGTGTTCTGTAAAAATTATTTTATAATTAAATATATTTTTTCTATACATATAATTGAATGTCTTGATTGGCTGATTATTTTTATTAGATCATTTTTTTATAAAACCTTAACTTTACTTTAATTTATAAATATTTATATAATATATTGAAGCCCCTTTGAAATATCCCTAGAAACACAAAAATCATTGTTTTTTGAAAAATGTGAGAAGACCGGTTTTTTATTTAAAATTTAAAAATATGCACTTAAAAAGTTTCAAATATCCACTTAAAAACCCATAATATGCAAAATAATTTTTGAATATTACAGCTATTTATTTATTGTAAAGTTATAAAATCAAAACATTAATGAAAAAAAAATGATTATATCAATAAACTACAGTATTATATACAATAATCTTTATTGGAAAAACAATAAGTGCTAATGACAATATTTTCTCTATTGATCTGGGTTAAAACTTAAATTATAATATCAATTTTTAACAATGTAGTTGTATGCAGAAAATCTTTGGTCCACATCAATGCTTACAGTTGCATATTTTAAACTTGACATTTCTAGGGGGAAATGTTTGATAGATGAACTCTTGAAGTCAACACTTTCGTATTGGTATATTTAAAAAAATTGTTTTAACATATTAGCAGGTCTTTGTTTTTATTAATAACTAGCTGATCCTGTGCACTTTGTTTCCCGTTAATGTACCAACTCTATATAGTGTACTTCAAAACTGTATAGTACCTGTATGTATACCTAACCTTTGGTATTATACATTTAAAATGGTATTCAAAATTTTTAAATATTTTAACGTTTAAATGATACAAGTAGGTATAATAGGGATACAATACATGGTATACATGGTATACATGGTATACAATACATTATACATGTATATTGTATACCTACTGAATTGTGACATTAGAATTTAGAACACTGAACATTGTTAAAAAAATAAATATAAATACACCATATAGTGAAGTATTTCATACTTCAAACACTAACCCTATAAGACTCAAACTTTGTTCAATTCATTATTTAATATTCGGTGTATGGTGTTCAAAACTAAACTTAACTTTTCCGTTGCTCGCAATAAAAATTCTGGTTTGCAACAGTGGGTATATTGTCAAGTAATTTTTTAAAAAATAGTCATCGATTACTCTACAAATAAAAATAAAAATACATTTTATTGACCATTATTTTGAATAATAAGTAAAAGAAATAGTAATCCTGTCACATTTTTTTAAATTAATATTAATTGTATATAATATAACTAAATATACCCAATATGTTATATTATTAATTATTATGTATATATTATTATATTTATAAATTAAAATTTAATAAAATATATTGTTGTTTCAGACTTTTTGTTTAAGTCTGATGTAGTAGATTAAAAATACGAAAAGGGGAAAGGAAAGAGTAGCAATTATAGAAGAAGGAAAGCGTACGGAGATAAAGTGATAATCTAGGTACGTAATAATATTGTATGGACAGAGAGGTCGATTACCCATTCAAATATTTCTTTATTTTGAGCCACTCTACCACAACGAATCCTACTACTAAAGTAGTGCACGTGTTATTGTGTTAAACGGTATAATAAATTATTAATATTTGTTTAAGTAATAAGATATTATAGTATATTATAGATGTGCATAATGCATATGTATTTACGCGTTCTGGTTTTATATAACGTTGATTAATGATTTTATTTCATTAGTTCAAAGAGTACGTATAATTATTCTACTACTTTTTTATATTTCATATCTTACAATAATGTATATATAAAAATATATTATGAAATATTATAATTAATTTACCCGAGTTGTATTCGTGGATACGGGGTTGTGTTCGATGCTCGAAAGTCGAAGTCAATATTACGTGTTTTGATTGGTATCTTTAATACTATAGTATATTATGAGATTTTTTTCTCCAGAGTTCTATGTATAATATTGATGTGATTCGAACTCTAATATTATATGAATTTATTATCTATTATTTGGGACGTGACTATTATCGTAAGCTCTTAAAATCCCTTCATTCGCAGCAATCGTACTTAGTCAAAGGCTAATCGAATGTAAATTAAGTGAATGAGCATCTAAAATTATACCCATGTTCTAAGTAGATAATTATGAATATGATCTAGCGATAATTATAGTAGTATATGCATTAATATTACAACTACGAGATTATACGATGATAGTCACAGAACTCTATATTGTAAACGGCGAATATATAATGTGAATGAATAATAATATTAACAAAGTGAGTTTTGTTTAGTGAGACGAGATAATCACACTGAATGTTGGATTAACCAAAATACATACATATATCTAGCTGATCCCGTGCACTTCGTTTCCCGTTAAATGTACCAACTCTATATGACTCAAACATTGTTCAATGCGTTATTTAATATTCGGTGTATGATGTTCTAGATTTATCTTAACTTTTCTGTTGCCCGGAATAAAAATTCTGAATTGCAGCAGTACATTATCAGATAGGTAATTTACCTGCGGTAGATCGCGGCCCCGTGCTGTTTGTACGTAAGTGTATGATTTAACTCAAAAAGTACCAAAGTTATACCAAGTTTGACATTTTTACTTAATTCCACCTACCTATAAATCCTAACCTAACCTAACCGTACTAAAATCAGATGAATAAAAAAAACCAAATTTAACCCTTTTTAAATTAGCGTATCTTCTTCCCATAGGTCTAATCTACACACCGTCATTCATTTATATATAAGATATATTTACAAAAAATAATAATACAAATCAACAAACATGCCCGATTAACCAATAGCAACCAATATAATATAATACACAATAGAGTAAATAAAGACAACGGTATCGAGTTCAAATCCCAGACATCAATAAATAGTTTTTGCAGTTTTTCTAATTATTCGGTTGACTTTTTAAAAATTTTCTTTCGTAAAAACCTTCACCTGGCAATTACGAACATCTTAAAAAAAATTTGAGCAAAATCGGCCCAGCCGTTCTCAACTGATGCAATTTCGAATTTTTTGTCTCCATTTTTATATATATAGATATGAACATATTCGCTTCGATTTTCGAATAGCAAGAATATTGTCGAAGTGGATACTGGCGTGGATGTTGTGCATCGGATCTTTTTGTTTGAAAGACTGTCCTGGAAGTCGATTCTGTATGATCCTTATATAGAGTGATTTTTGTGTAATCCCTTCGTTTGGTATGCATCGATAAATACGTAATGATTAAAAGTATTGATATGTTTATGTTATTCTTTAAATTTGTGCGGTGTGACAAAAGTGCCGCTGGTAATTTATTGTGTTGTTTTTAAAGAATGTCTTGATCGTAGGATTTTTGAAGGGGTCATACAGTATAATATAATATGAGTTTTAACGGTGTTGTCTGGCGTCGCTGATAATTTGTTGGATTGTTTTTACTAAAAGTCTGATCGGAGAGGTGTTGAATATTATATTTTATGTGTTGCATGTGTCGCTATATGTGTGTATAAGGAATGCGTATAGATATATGCCTAAAGCGTATGTATATATAATATGTATATTGGATCACCCCATATTCCATATGGACCGTTGCTATTAGTTATTCTGTGTATTTATTTAAGTATAGATATTACACTGATAATAAAAAATGTGCTCCGAGTTTTTCAAAACGGATTTCTTGACTGATAAATATGTTGAATCTGCCTATCTATGTATGATACACTATACTTTGCTTATCTGTTGACTTCTTAGCCGACCGGCTGACTTCTAAGCCAAACCTGGTGACTTCTTAGCCGAAAGGTTGACTTCTCAGCCAACTCAGGAGGCTTCTTAGCCAACCAGATGACTTCTAAGTCAAACCTAGCTGACTTCTGGGCAAACCGGTTGGATTTCTCGGCTTAACCTGATGACTTCTTGGGCGAACCTGATGACTTCTGGGACCACCAATTATCTACTTAGCCAACTAAAAAGTCAGCCAACTGCTTTACCATGTCTGGTGACTTCTTAAACAACCGGTTGACTTCTCTTCAAACCTGTTGGCTATCTCGGTTTAACCTGATGACTTCTGGGTAAATCTAGTTACTTCTTAGTTAACTGGCTGAATTCTTGGCCAAATCTGGTAAGTACTTAGCCGACTAGCAGACTTCTCGGCCTACATGGTAGTATCTTAGCCGACTGGCTGACTTCTCGGCCTAACCGGTCGTCTCTTGGCCGACTGGCTGACTTCTAGGCCAATCCTGTAGCCTTCTTAGCTAACCAGATGACATTTAAGCCAAACCTTTTGGCTTCTTAGCCAACTAGCTAACTTCTCGGCAAACCGGTTGGATTTCTCGGCGTAACCTGATGACTTCTTAGCCAACCTGCTGAATGCTCGGCCTACAAGCCAAAGTTACAAGCACAGTGCTTCCCATGTCAAAAATCGGTATTCATTTTGATCAGAAACACAGTGCAGTACAAAGTAAACACGGTAACATAAAACCTCAAAATATATGTATTTCAATCAATGTCACCAACATTGTTCCTCTTGTCCTGATGACTTCATGGCCAAACTTTTTGAATTCTCATCGTAAATTTGGTGACTTCTTAATAAACCGGCTGACTTCTGGGCCTAAATGTTGGTTTCTTAGCCGACTGGCTGATTACTTGGCCATATCTGTTGACTTCTTAGCCGACTACCTGACTTCTCGGCCTACCTGTTGGATTTCTCGACTTAACCTGATGTCTTCTTAGCGAACCTGCTGACTGCTCGGCCTACATGGTGACTTCATAGCCAACTATTTGTCTTTTCAGGTAACCAAGTGACTTCTTAGTCAACCGGATGACTTCTCGTCAAACCGGCTAGATGTTTTGGAAAAACCTGATGACGAATAATTGTTGGTTTCTTAGCCGACTGGCTGACTACTTGGCCATATCAGTTGACTTCTTAGCCAAATACCTGACTCCTCGGCCTAATTGTTGGCTTCTTACCAGAGTACCTGATATCTCGGCAAACCGGTTGGACTTCTCGGCTTAACCTGATGACTTCTTAGCCAACCTGCTGACTGTTCGTTCCACCTGGTAGTTTCTTAGCCGACTGGCTGACTACTTGGCCATATCTGTTGTCTTCTTAGAGAACTACCTGACTTCTCGGCCTAATTGTTGGTTTCATAGCCGACTGGCTGACTTCTCGGCCTACCCGGTGGTTTCTTAACCGATTGACTGACTTCTCGGCCTACCTGCTAGATTCTTAGCCGACTGGCTGACTTCTCGGAGTACCCGGTGGTTTCTTAGCCGACTGGCTGACTTCTCGGCTAAACCTCCATCCTTCTTAGCTAACCAGATGACATTTAAGCCAAACCTTGTGGTTTCTTATCTGACCAGATGACTTTTAAGCCAAACGTATTGGGTTTTTAGCCGACTACCTGACTCTCGGCCTACCTGTGGGTTTCTTAGCCGACTGGCTAACTTCTTGACCTACATGGTAGTTTTTTAGCCAACTACCTGACTTCTCGGCCTAATTGTTGGTTTCTTAGCCGACTGGCTGACTTCTCGGCCAAACCTCCATCCTTCTTAGCTAACCAGATGACATTAAAGCCAAACCTATTGGGTTCTTAGCCGACTAAATGACTTCTCAGCCTACCTTTGGGTTTCTTAGATGATTGGCTATCTTCTCGGCCTACATGGTAGTTTCTTAGCCGACTACCTGACTTCTCGGCCTACCTGTGGGTTTCTTAGACGATTGGCTAACTTCTCGGCCTACATGGTAGTTTCTTAGCCAACTACCTGACTTCCCGGCCTACCTGGTAGTTTCTTAGCTGACTTGCTGACTTCTCGGCCAAACCATCAGCCATCTAAGCTAAAGATGACATTTAAGCCAAACCTTGTGGTTTCTTAGCTGACCAGATGACTTTTAAATCAAACGTATTGGGTTCTTAGCCGACTACCTGACTTCTCCGCCTACCTGTGGGTTTATTAGCCGACTGGCTGACTACTTGACCATATCTGTTGACTTCTTAGCCGACTCATTGACTTATCAGCCTAATTGTTGGTTTCTTAGCCGACTGGCTGACTTCTCGGCCAAACCTCCATCCTTCTTAGCTAACCAGATGACATTTAAGCCAAACCTATTGGGTTCTTAGCCGACTACCTGACTTCTCGGCCTAATTGTTGGTTTCTTAGCCGACTGGCTGACTTCTCGGCCAAACCTCCATCCTACTTAGCTAACCAGATGACATTTAAGCCAAAACTATTGGGTTCTTAGCTGACAACCTGGCTTCTCGGCCTACCTGTGGGTTTCTTAGCTGACTGGCTGACTTTTCGGCCTACATGGTAGTTTCATAGCTGATTTTCTGACTTCTCGGCATACATGGTAGTTTCTTAGCCGACTTGCTGACTTCTCGGCAAACCGGTTGGATTTCTCGGCTTAACCTGATGACTTCTTAGCCAACCTGCTGACCGCTCGGCCTACAAACCAAAGGTACAAGCACAGTGCTTCCCATGTTTAAAATTGATATTCAGCTTGATCAGAAACACATTGCAGTACAAAGTTAACACGGTAACATAAAAACTAAAGATTGATGTATTTCACCCAATGTACACCCACATTGTTCCTCTTTTCCTTATGACTTCACGGCCAATTTTGACTTCTAATCGTAAATCTGGTGACTTCTTAATAAGCTGCCTGACTTCTGGGCAGAAATTTTTGGTTTTTTAGCCAACTTCCTGACTTCTCGGCCTAATTGTTGGTTTCTTAGCCGACTGGCTGACTTCTCGGCCTACATGGTAGTTTCTTAGCTGACTGGCTGACTTCTCGGCCTACCCGATGGGTTCTTAGCCGACTGGCTGACTTCTCGGCCAAACCTCCATCCTTCTTAGCTAACCAGATGACATTTAAGCTAAACCTTGTGGTTTCTTAGCTGACCAGATGACTTTTAAGCCAAACGTATTGGGTTCTTAGCCGACTACCTGACTTCTCGGCCTACATGGTAGTTTCTTAGCCGACTGGCTGACTTCTCGGCCTACCCGGTGGTTTCTTAACCGATTGACTGACTTCTCGGCCTACCTGTTGGTTTCAGGTGACTTCTTAGCCAACTGAGTATTGAGTGTTACCAGCACAGTGAGTCTAATGTAAAAAATCGGTATTTATTTTGATCAAAAACAAAGTTTTATGCACTGTCATAGCACGGTAACATAAAACCTAAAAATTTATGTATTTCAATCAATGTCACCAACATTGTTCCTCTCGTCCTGATGACTTCACAGCCAAACTTTTTGACTTCTCATCGTAAATCTGGTGACTTCTTAATAAACCAGCTGACTTATGGGCCTAATTTTTGGTTTCTTAGCCGACTGGTTGACTACTTGACCATATATGTTGACTTCTTAGCCGAATAACTGACTTCTCGGCACACATGATAGTTTCTTAGCCGACTGGCTGACTTCTCGGCATACATGGTAGTGTCTTAGCCGACTTGCTGACTTCTCGGCCAAACCATCAGCCATCTAAGCTAAAAAGATGACATTTAAGCCAAACGTATTGGGTTCTTAGCTGACTACCTGACTTCTCGGCCTAATTGTTGGTTTCTTAGCCGACTGGCTGACTTCTCGGCCAAACCTCCAGCCTTCTTAGCTAACCAGATGACATTTAAGCCAAACCTATTGGGTTCTTAGCCGACTACCTGACTTCTCGGCCTACCTGTGGGTTTCTTGGACGATTGGCTAACTTCTCGGCCTACATGGTAGTTTCTTAGCCAACTACCTGACTTCTCGGCCTACCTGTGGGTTTCTTAGCCGACTACCTGACTTCTCGGCCTACCTGGTAGTTTCTTAGCCGACTTGCTGACTTCTCGGCATACATGGTAGTTTCTTAGCCAACCGGCTGACTTCTCGGCAAACCGGTTGGATTTCTCGGCTTAACCGGATGACTTCTTAGCCAACCTGCTGACCGCTCGGCCTACAAGCCAAAGTTACAAGCACAGTGCTTCCCATGTTTAAAATTGATATTCAGTTTGATCAGAAACACATTGCAGTACAAAGTTAACACGGTAACATAAAACCTAAAAATTGATGTATTTGACCCAATGTACACCCACATTGTTCCTCTTTTCCTTATGACTTCACGGAAAATTTTGACTTCTCATCGTAAATCTGGTGACTTCTTAATAAGCTGCCTGACTTCTGGGCTGAAATTTTTGGTTTTTTAGCTGACTGGCTGATTACTTGGCAATATCTGATGACTTCTTAGCCGACTACCTGACTTCTCAGCCTACCCGGCGGTTTCTTAGCCGACTGGCTGAATTCTCGGCCAAACCATCAGGCTGCTTAGCTAACCAGATGACTTTTAAGCCATACCTTTTGGCTTCTAGGCGACTTCTCGGCAAACTGGTTTGATTTATCTTCTTAATCTGATGACTTCTTAGAAAACCTGTTGACTTTTATTTCAAACCAGGAGGCGCCTTAACCAACCAGCTGACTTCTAATCGAAATCTGGAGAATTCTTACACCCCCTTTGACTTGTGGGCCTAGACCGTGGCTTCATTTATTTTGAACAAAAAGCCAGTGGTGTGCACCGCTAATAGCAATTTAATATAAAAATAAAAGTTGATGACTTCTTAACCGATTGACTGACTTCTCGGCCTACCGGTTGGTTTCAGGTGACTTCTTAGCCAACTGAGTATTGAGTGTTACCAGCACAGTGAGTCTAATGTAAAAAATCGGTATTTATTTTGATCAAAAACAAAGTTTTGTGCTCTGTCATAGCACGGTAACATAAAACCTAAAAATTTATGTATTTCAATCAATGTCACCAACATTCTTCCTCTTGTCCTGATGACTTCACAGCCAAACTTTTTGACTTCTCATCGTAAATCTGGTGACTTCTTAATAAACCAGCTGACTTCTGGGCTTAAATGTTGGTTTCTTAGCCGACTGGCTGACTACTTGACCATATCTGTTGACTTCTTAGCCAACTAACTGACTTCTCGGCACACATGGTAGTTTCTTAGCCGTCTGGCTGACTTCTCGGCCTACATGGAAGTTTCTCAGCCGACTGGCTGACTTTTCGGCCAAACCTCCAGCCTTCTTAGCTAACCAGATGACATTTAAGCCAAACCTATTGGGTTCTTAGCCGACTACCTGACTTCTCGGCCTACCTGTGGGTTTCTTAGCCGACTGGCTGACTTCTCGGCATACATGGTAGTCTCTTAGCCGACTGGCTGACTTCTCGGCCTACATAGTAGTTTCTCAGCCGACTGGCTGACTTTTCGGCCAAACCTCCAGCCTTTTTAGCTAACCAGATGACATTTAAGCCAAACCTATTGGGTTCTTAGCCGACTACCTGACTTCTCGGCCTACCTGTGGGTTTCTTGGACGATTGGCTAACTTCTCGGCCTACATGGTAGTTTCTTAGCCAACTACCTGACTTCTCGGCCTACCTGTGGGTTTCTTAGCCGACTACCTGACTTCTCGGCCTACCTGGTAGTTTCTTAGCCGACTTGCTGACTTCTCGGCCAAACCATCAGCCATCTAAGCTAAAAAGATGACATTTAAGCCAAATCTTGTGGTTTCTTAGCTAACCAGATGACATTAAGTCAAACCTATTGGGTTCTTAGCCGACTACCTGACTTCTCGGCCTACCTGGTAGTTTCTTAGCCGACTGGCTGACTACTTGACCATATCTGTTGACTTCTTAGCCGACTACCTGACTTCTCGGCCTAATTGTTGGTTTCTTAGCCGACTGGCTGACTTCGCGG